GGAGGTGGAGGTTGCAGTGAGCCCAGATTATGCCACTGTACTCCAACCTGGTGACAGAGTGAGGCTTCTTCTCAAAAAGAAAGACAGAAAGGTGGATGCCAGGAAGGAGGGAGGAGAAGGGCCCAGTGTACCCTGTCCACACCACGTCTCACATTGTTCTCCTGTCCACTTCTGTGTGATGGCAGCCTTATCTGGGATGTGTCTCTGTCCCGACTCTGATTCCCTCTGCAGGGTCCAGCCCTCCCCTCCCCAGCCACTCTACAGATCGCTCTGTCTCCCACAAAACTGGGCCCCCAGCCCTCCTGATGGTTCCCCGCTGCCCCACAGAGGGCCCCTGGGCCAGCACTCAAGACAGGCCATGCTTGGGCTGCCACATCCCTCAGCCTCTGTGGCCCTGGCCCCACTGAGCTCCAGCCTGTTTCCTCCCAGCCCAGCTTGTCCCCTCCCTTTTCACCTGGATGACTCACGCTGATCTGTCTACACTCTGCCTGTGTCATCCTTCTCTGTGCAGTCCTCCCCAAGACCCTCAGCCAAGGAGTGAGCCTTCTCCCCTCCATACCCCAGGGACTCTTGCTAGATTCTTCCCATAGCACATGTGGCCATTACAGGCCAAGAGGTCTCCCCAACACCCTTCTGCACATGTGTGAGCTCTTCAAGAGGACAGGGGCTGTGTCTGGGGAGCAGGTGGTATTTGATTACATGAATAAGTTTTTCGGTGGTGATTTCTGAGATTTTGGTGCACCCCACCCCCCCAACCTAAGCAGTGTACACTGTACCCAATGCGTAGTCTTTTATTTTTTTGAAACTCAGTCACCTCTTTCACCCAGAATGGACTGCAGTAACGTGATCTTGGCTCACTGCAACCTCCACCTCCTAGGTTCAAGCAATTCTCTGCCTCAGCCTCCTGAGTAGCTGGGATTACTGGTGCCCAACACCACACCCGGCTAATTTTTGTATTTTTAGTAGACAGGGTTTCACCATGTTGACCAGGCTGGTCTCAAACTCCTGACCTCAGGTGATCCACCCACCTTGGCCTCCCAAAGTGCTCACAGGCATGAGCTATTGTCCCCAGTGCATTCTGTCACTCTTATGCCTTTACATCCTCAGAGATTAGCTCCCATGTGCACGTGTCTGTCTATTTGTGCCCTCCCCACGTCTCCAGTCCCGCCCTCCTGTTGTCCTCTGAGCAGTGTGGCCCACACTCTGTTGGTTGGGGGTCAAGCCTTCTGGCACTTAGCTTGACCAACGGTGCATCCCCTGACCAGGAGCCCAGGGTACCCATCCTGGGGTGGGGTCTGCTCCAGAGCTCCAGGCAGTCATCCCGGGGATGCAAAACAGCCAGGCTTCTGTTGGAAGGGCCTTGTTGGGACATGCCAGAGGCAGGTGCGAATGAGCTCATCCATGGGCTCACGGCTCCTGCAAAACAAGGAGCCTCCCACCTCTCACAGCACAGGACACGTCCCTGTCTTCGTGTCCTGCGCACTCAGACCCTTGACCACCTCTCCCTGTCTGGCTCCCCTGCCTCTCCTCAGATGCTGTGTGGCCTGGGGAAGACCCTGCCCCTCTCTGACCATGCATCTCCTCTGCAGCCAGACCTTGCTCTAAGCCCCTCCATGGTCCAGCATCCTGGGCACTGGGACCTGGATGCCCTTATGCCACCCAGCATGTGTCTTGACCCTGGGACACTGGTAGCCCCTGTACTTGCCCAGTGGCCCTTGTGTCCCCTGCCCACTACTTCCTGGCCTCCTTACCCAGGCTCCCACCTGCAACCAAAGTCCTAACCTGGCTTCCTGCTGTGCCAGCTCACCCACCCACCCAGACGCCCGTGCCCTTGACCCTCCTTCCCACCTCTTCTGCCAAGTCAACCCCCAACCCCCCAGGCCTGTGAGCTTAGTGTTCAGCATCCCTTAGGAGCAGGGCACAGGCTGTATGCCACAGGGCAGGTTGCTCACCCTCTCTGGACCCCAGTTCTCTCAGCTGCCAGCTGGGTAGAGCAGAAGGGGCCTTGTGCCAGGTGTCAGGCTGACCAGCTCGACTTCCCCTCCCTCTTGCAGCACTGGAATACCCCCAACACCCCTAGCCCCTTCAAGCCGTCTCAGCTTCCCCTGCCCTGAATACCACCATCAGAGCGGCATCCCCTAGGCCCTGTGGGTCGCAGATCTCTGGCAGGGTGACATGGCCCCACAAGGGCCTCGGTCAGGGAGATGCAGGGCTTACAGAGAGCAGACCAACAGTGCAGAGGCCTGGAGAGGAGGCCATCGAGGGCCGGGTGCAGGACCATGCCGGTGACCGCCATGGTCCTGTCCAGCTGAGAGGAGCTGGAGAGCCATCACAGGCTGGGGGCCAGAGATGACCCTGCCTCTGGGCCCCGCTGTTCCGTCACTGCCCTCTCCACTCTCCCGTCTGTGTTCTCAGTTGTTCATTGCACAAATGGGGCCCACAGCCTCCTGGAAATCCTGTGTGGGACTCAGAGAGATCTCAGACATCCCTCCTTAAGGGGTTCCACAGTAAGAGTGGCCGCAGCCCAGGGAGATGCTGGAGGGCACTGTCCACCCTGATGGTGGCGTGGGAGGGAGTGACATTCCAGGCAGAAGGAGCACCCTCTGGGTTTGGGGGTCCTCTGGCAGCCAGGTAAGAAAGCAGGGTAAGAAGGTGAGGGCCTGGCTAGAGTGGCCCTGGCCTTGGCACAGAGATGCAGCGTCTGGTGTTGGGTGGGGGAGCTGTGTGCAGAGGGCGGGGTGGGCAGGCGTTAATGGAGGCCCGCCTGGGCCTTTGATGAGGGCAGCGCCTGCCTGCCTGCCCGGCTATGGTTTAATTAGCCTTAATCAAGGTGGCACCTCCTTCCTCCACCCTCTCCCTCAGGCCTAGAAGGGAAGAAAGGGAGGGAGGAAGGCAGACAGGAGTGGGGAGGACCCACCCTAGCTGCACACATAGCCTCTGTCACCCCTGCCACCACAGCCAGGGTTCCAGGGAGTCACCCACCACCCACCTTGGGGGTGAGGAATGCCAACTGTGACCCAGGACACAGAGGTGAGGAGCAGATGGATGTCCTGCCCCAGCTTTGTCCCCTTAGCTGGGTCCCATGCCCCTCAAGGCTCTGGGGTGGCCCCTCCTCCTGGAATCCCTACTAGATTGATGTTTCCTCTGGGCTACTCCAGCCCAGCCCTGCGTGTAGGTGACAGGCTCATCTGTTTTATTCACTGGGCTGTGAATGCTGGGTAGGCACCAGATCCCACTCTACCCATTTGGAGATCCTCTGGTAGTGTCCTACGCAGGTGGCCACCTCACCAGTTGGATGAACAAGTGAAGCATGTGCCTGCTATGGAGGGGGCTCTTGGCCTCGGGGACAAGCGGGCAGGAGCTAATGTGCAGGGGAGGGGAAGGAAAGGCAGGCAGTAAACAAGTAGATACCAGGTGAATCTGCCTGTAGTGGTTGGGGCAAGTGCTTTGAAGGAGAGACAAGAGGTAGAGGCTGGGTGGCCAGCACAGAGCTCCAAGGGTTGGCTCCGCAGAGACCCCAGGGCAGTGAAGGAGCAGACAGCACTGAGGGTCAGGAGCTGCACCTGCAGGAGGCAGGGAGCCGCCAAAGGGTTTGGAGCAAGGCAGGACTGGCCAGGTCACTGGTGGCATGGACCAGAGGCCAGGGAGGAGGCTGGAGCTGGGGAAGCAGGGGAAAGATGAGAATGCAAGTCTTAGTGACCAGGGGAGGTGGGAGAGGGCTGAGGAAGGGCCTCCTAGGCCCACCTCCGCCTGCCTTCCACCCACCCACAGGCTGGTCATAGTGGCGCTGATCGGCGTGAGCGTGGCCTGGATCCCCGTCCTGCAGGGCTCCAACAGCGGGCAGCTCTTCATCTACATGCAGTCAGTGACTAGCTCCCTGGCCCCCCCTTTGACTGCAGTCTTTGTCCTGGGCATCTTTTGGCGACGTGCCAACGAGCAGGTGGGTGTCGGGGGACAGGTCTCCCTGGGGACGTGCTACAGTCTGTTCCAGTCCTCCTCTGCTGCCTCTGTGGGGAGCCTTGGTCCTCCTCCGGTAGCCCCACATGCCCTGCCTCCCTCCTCCCCAGGGGGCCTTCTGGGGCCTGATAGCAGGGCTGGTGGTGGGGGCTACGAGGCTGGTCCTGGAATTCCTGAACCCGGCCCCACCCTGTGGAGAGCCAGACACGCGGCCGGCCATCCTGGGGAGCATGCACTACCTGCACTTTGCGGTCGCCCTCTTCACACTCAGTGGTGTTGTGGTGGTGGTCGGAAGCCTGCTGACCCCACCCCCGCAGGGTGGTCAGGTGAGGCAGCCCTGACCCCTGACTCTGTCCCAACAATTTATTACTCTAGTCCTATTCTGGTCCCTGACCCTCTCTGATTCCAAATTTTCTAGCCCTGGACTCCCTCACCCTATCTCTTTTTGAACTAAGCTGCCATCTTGCCATCCCCAACCTTTGATCCTGTGTGGGTCACCCCCACCCTGCCACCCCTCCACCTCTATCCCTATCCCACTCATTTCTTACAGATTGAGAACCTTACCTGGTGGACCCTGGCTCGGGACTTGCCGTTGGTAACCAAAGCAGGTAAGTGGGTGACCCTAGGTGCTCCTCCACCTTGACACTGGGCTGAAGGCAGGGGCACCAGGTGTGGCCTTGTGTCCCTCATCTGTCCCTCTCCTTCTGCAACCCCCACCAGGTGATGGCCAAACGCCCCAGAAATACGCTTTCTGGGCTCGTGTCTGTGGCTTCAATGCCATCCTCCTCATGTGCGTCAACATCTTCTTCTACGCCTACTTCGCCTGATGCTGCCACCCTAGGCAGGAAGGCGGGAGCCCCAAATCCTCAGGTCCACCCTTTTCCCTCATGGGGACCCTGAGAGGGGCAGATTCTCCTCACAGCTGCACAACGGCTCAGTCCCCAAGAACTGGCCAAGCCAGCAGAGCAGGAGCCCTGAAAAATCAGGGGAGAAATGGGAAAAAAGAAAGTGACATTTCAAAAATAGCATCAAAGCAGTCATCATTGGAAAGAAAATTAGATTTCTGATGGACACCCTGATGTTGATTTTACTGCTTTCATTTTGAATACACAGGTCGGGTCAGGAGCAGTGAGATTTGCTAACACTCAGGGCTCTTAGGGTCTTGGGCCAGCACTGGATGGAGGGAGGGCCCCACATGGCCAGAGCAAGGCCCTCCACCAAGGGACTGCAGCCTCCTCCAGGGACTGCTCCCTCCACTCACCTGCTCCCAAATGCCAGAAGGAGCCTCCTCGCCCTCCCTCCCTGCCCACTGTCCCCTCCATCATCAGCCTGGTATTCAAAGCCTTTCCAAGTCCCCCCTCACCTTCCAAAGCTGCCCAGGCTCTGGGCAGGCCCTGCTCCTATCCCTGATGGTGGCAATTCTCTGGAGGACCCTCCCATTCTCAGGTAGGGGCCATGCTCTACCTAGGCAGCTCCCCCATTCAAGATCCTGTACAATCTCTAAAACTCAGCTCTGGCCCCAACTTTCTGTCTGGCCTGTAGGTTTCTCAGCCTCCTGAGAGCTTGTCCGGGCAGAACCTGGGCCCAGACAAACAAGAGGGAGGGCAGCCAGGGTCTCTGCGTGGCTGGGCCCAAGGCTTGGCCTTAGGGTCATCTGTCCAACAGGAGAAGGGTGTGCCTCTACCTTCCCCACTGCCCGCCCCTTGCTCTGGCTCTCTGGGCCTCTCCCCCTGTGGTGGGGCGGGGTGCTCAGTATCCAGGGCGGAGCTGAAATCATGAGGCTCTTGAGGAGTTGGTGTCCACCTGGAGTCAGTCCAGTGCATTTAGGTCAACAGCTGTGCAGTCTGTCCTCCGAGGCTAAGCCACCTCCCAAGGGCCCTTACAACTAGAAGGGCTTTTTGAGGGAGAGGCAGGCAGGCCCAGGGGGTGGTCAGTCCAAGGTAAACCCACTCACCACACCCAGGGTTCCTCAGGTTGAGCCTCCAGTGGGTGAAACCTGGGAGTCTTCAGCCTTCCTGAGGCCATTGACAGGAAGAGGTGGGTGGGGCCTCCACAGACTCTGCCCTGTGGTGGCAGACAGCTGGCAGCCAACGGGAAGCAACCAGCCCAGAAGCCCCGGAGCCACCCTTGCTAGGTACCCTTGCTGGGTGACCTGGGCCATCCCAGTTTGTGTGAAGTGGCAGGAGGCAGTTAGGAGCCCACGTTCAGTCCAAGGCCATCCGCTGACTGTTTGACCAGGCTGGGGGTGTCCAGGTCCTCTCTGGACCTCAGTTCCTAGAAAATGGCCCATTGGCCAGATTAGCTGCCTGGCCGCTCACAGGTGCACAGGCTGCACGTAACTCTGTGGGAAATAGCCAACTCGCCCACAGGACCGGCCCTGCCACCAGTGGGGGTCTGGTCGCTCCAGGACCTCGATGATGTCGCCACGGCGGAAGCTGAGCTGTGAGGGATCCTGGGCCAAGAAGTCAAACTGGGCCTGGGCAAAGCAGGCCCCAGGTGACTGCAAGAGGAGGAAGTGGTTAGTAGGGTGCTTTCAGAAGCCCTGCAACCTGCTCTCCCTTGGAGGCGCCCAAGAGAAGTGATTTGCCACAGGCAGGAAGGGGTCTCGGGGCAGCACTGCAATTGCACTTTAAATCCAGATCAGTGGCGGTGCCACCCCTGGGCCTCCTGCTGCCCACACCCCTGACTGTCTGCTGTGCAGATGCTGCATCTACATAGAACACAGCTTTCCCAGCCGACCAGCTGGGACCATAGGGCTGGTGGGTCAGGGGACTTGAGTCCTGGTCCTTAGGGTGGGTTTTGGTTGGGTCCCTGCTTCTCTTGGGGTCTTATTTCCCTGACTGCAGCAGCCATGATAGCTTTTGACTCCAGGCCGCAAAGCCATGAGAATGGGCCTCATAAACTGTAAAGTGGTGTGCAGCTAAGAGCCGTGTTTACTGCTCTTGCCCTTGGTCAGCCACTGAGGGAGAGAACTGTCACTCTGAGCTCTCAGGCTGGTATTCCGGTCCCATCTATGCCCCATGTGTGGTGTTGGGTAGGTCCCTGCCCTTTGTGGAACTCAGCTTCCCTACCTGTGCAGAGCAGCTGGACAGGAGCACTCTGCAGGTCGTCTGCCCGGTGCCATGACTATTATACCAAGCACCCTGGTGCTGCCTGCCCACCAGGATCTCAGCTCTGAACCTGCAGAATCTCATCCAGGACGAGTGATAGGATCAGCAGAGAGGCTGTAATTAGCAGCTCTCTGCCCAGGAAGGAGGAGGCGTCATGGGTCCCAGGGGACTGAGGCAGCTCTGGAGTCACGCCACAGGGTGGGGGACCCCAGGGCCCGGGCCAGAGAGAGGTGGTGGGTGTAGGGGAGTGCTCAGTCGCCCCCACCCCAGCTCCATCCTGGCTCCCTCACATTTTCTGAGCAGAGCTGGCCCAGGGGATTAACAGGGAAGAGGATGGAGATCTGGCAGACAGGGGCCAGCTGGGGAGAAGTGGTGCCTGAGACTGGCAGTTCACAGCAATCTGGGCACTCAGGGTCGGGCAGGGAAGGCCAAGAGAAGAGGGGCTAGTGAGGGTCTTGCCAGGCAGTTTGACTTTCCTGGCATATCAGACCCCAGGGCTCATCCTACTAAACAGAGGGGAAACTGAGGGGATGAACTGGCCTCTGATCACATGGAAAGATGGCAGGGAGGTGCTGGGAACAGGACTTGGCTGGAGCTTCTCTGCCGTGATTATCAGCCTCCCGCCAGGCCTTGGTCACACTCCCCATATCCTCTGCAGAGCCCAAGTTCAAATGTCCCAGGGTCATGATCTCCAGCCCCAGGCCTTGCCAACATCCTTGCTCCTGAAGAAAACAGCCTGTTGGACTATTAACCCCAGTGGCTATTGTCGGCATCCTAATCAGCTTAAGAGCTGGCCCTTGGGGCCCTTTGATGAAAGGGCTGTCTGGCAAATTGCTGTTATTGTGAGGTGGAGAGGTTGACGACCCCCACTCCTCACCCCGTGGCCAGCCACCCACGAGCACTCAGCTGCCTCACACCCAAGGTCAACTCTTCTGGAAGCAGAAATCAGGACTAAGCCTACCAGGTAAGTATCCTTGGATGAGTCATGTACTCTCTGAGGCTCAGTTTCCTCATCTGTACAATGGGCACGACGAGGCTCCCAGACTACAGAGACCCAGTCAGTGCGTGGTACCCAGTAGGCTCAGCAGGGGTCTGTGCCTTCCTTCACTCAGTGAACATTTATTGAGCATCTACTGTGTGCCACACACTATTCTAGGAGCTGAGAACAAGTTAGACGGTTTATCCCCATGGGATTTTCCTTCTGACCTCTGCTTTTCTTTCCCTCTTCGCCTTTCCCACCCTTGCAAGTCTCACCCCAGCCACCACCAGGATATAAGTCTGAAGCCTCGGCCAGACCCCTCTTGCAACACCAGACTGCTGGAGAAGGGAGGCCAGGCCTGTGCTTGGTCTTGGAATCAGCATCTCCCCTGCTCCAGAAGGCAGGAGATGCAGAGAGGCTCCCACGGGCCAGCCCTCACCCGCCCCTACCTTAAGCAGGGGCTCCTCGTCTCGCAGGAAGATCTGCCGCTTCTTGGCGATGGTGGTGGTGCGGTAGAAGTCAACCAGCTCGTTGAGGGAGTTGAACTTCTCCTCCCATAGGAAGTACTTCCCCGAGGCCTCGCGCAGCACCTTGAAGTGCTGCACCTGGTCTCCATAGCTAGGGGAAAGGCCCCAGGGCCGTGTCAGACGGTGGCCGGCCCTGCCTGGCTGGCCCAGGGGCTCTCCCGTCTCACTACCATCTGGAGTCAGATAAGGTGCAGGTGGGACAGGCCCCACTGAGCCAGCTCCACATGAGGTCTGGGGTGCTCCATCTGACGGTGGAATACGGGGATTAAGGGTGTGGCTCTGAACCAGGCCACCTTCTCACTATGTGACCTCATGCAAGTCTCTCAACTTCTCTGACCCTCCATTTCCTCACGATGACACCATCTCCGTGCTGGACAGGTGCACAGTGACTCCCGCATACTGGCAACGTGAAATGAGTGGCTCTGAGTGTGTGGGGATCAGAGAGCATCTCCTTCACATCTCTTCATCATTCCCCTCCACTTGGACATTCTCCCTGCTTCCCTGCTCCTCCCAGTCCCACGGTCCCTTGGGGAGCAGGTCCTAGACTCATCCTGACTCAGACCAGTCTCCTGGTATGAGAGGAGCTCAGACATGTTGGATGTCTCATGTCCTCCCCCTCCCAAAAACCTTCTATGGCTTCTCCGTTGGCCTCAGGGTAAACTCTAACACCTCAGACTCAAGATCTGGCTCACTTACATATCCAGCTTCATTTCCTTTATATCCTCTCTGATGAAGCAAACGGGCCCCTTTCTCTCTCATTCCCAGTCTGTGCCCAGCCTTCCAGCCCACTGCCACCAAATCACCCCAAGTATCTTCCAGCCCAGTGGAGGAGAGAGCCTGCTCTTCAAAACTGTCCAGGGCAGAGCCTGTCCTGGCTGGGACCAGGCAGAAGGACCTAACTGGAGCCTCTCACACTCAGCATGTCCCACCCAGGACGGGCCCTGTGGGGCTGCGACTGGACCAAGTGCGGCTGTGGGTCAAGATCTTGGCAGACATGACTACGGCACTGCCCTGCTGTGCTGTGGGGGTGGCTGGACTGCCTCACTGCCCAGGAGGAGCAAATTGGGCCCTGTAGTCTAGTTTCTCCACCGGTCATCCCTGGGGCAGCGTGCTGCCTTATTGATGTTTTAAGATTAAAGATAAAGAGACCAGGCACAGTGGCTCATGCCTGTAATCCCAGCACTTTGAGAGGCCAAGGTGGGTGGATCACCTCAGGTTGGGAGTTCAAAAGCATCCTGGCCAACATGGTGAAACCTCGTCTCTACTAAAAATACAAAAATTAGTTGGATGTGGGGGTGACAGAGTGAGACTCCATCTCAAAAAAAAAAAGGCTGGGCGCGGTTGGCTCATGCCTGTAATCCCAGCACTTTGGGAGACCGAGGCGGGCAGATCACCTGAGGTCAGGAGTTCAAGACCAGAGCCTGACCAACCTGGAGAACCCCACCTCTACTAAAAATACACAATTAGCTGGGCATGGTGGCGGGTGCCTGTAATCCCAGCTACTCCGGAGGCTGAGGCAGGAGAATTGTTTGAACTCAGGAGGCAGAGGATGCAGTGAGCAGAGATAGTGCCATTGTACTCCAGCCTGGGCAACAAGAGCAAAACTCTGTCTCAAAAGAAAAAAAAAAAGATTAAAGATTTAAGATAAAGAAGCCTGGCGAGGTGGCTCATGTCTTTAATCCCAGCATTTTGGAAAGTCAAGCTGGGCAAATCACAAGGTCAGGAGTTCAAGACCAGCCTGGCCAACATGGTGAAACCCATCTCTACTAAAGATGCAAAAACTTGGCTTGGCATAGTGACAGGCGCCTGTAATCCCAGCTACTAGGGAGATTGAGGCAGGAGAATCCCTTGAACCCAGGAGGCAGAGGTTGCAGTGAGCCAAGATGGTGCCACTGCACTCCAGCCTGGGCCACAGAGCAAGACTCCATCTTAAAAAACAAAACAAAACTGTAAGACAAAGATGTGTTCAAGGTTCCCACCCTCTGGTCCCCCTACTCCATCCCAGTCAAGGGGTTCAGACCACTTCTAAACCCACCTCCAGGCTTTTGCACACCGTATGTCCTCCAGCTGGAAGGAATTGTTCCTTTTTTTTTTTTCTTTGAGACAGAGTCTCACTCTGTCACCCAGGTGGAGTGCAGTGGCACGATCGTGGCTCACTGTGATCTCCAAGCCTCCCAGGTTCAAGTGATTCTCCTGCCTCAGCCTCCTGAGTAGCTGGGACAACATGCATACTCTACCATGCCTGGCTAATTTTTGTATTTTTAGTAGAGATGGGGTTTCACCAGGTTGGCCAGGCTGGCCTTGAACTCCTGACCTCAGATGATCTGCCTGCCTCGGCTTCCCAAAGTGCTGGGATTATAGGCGTGAGCTACTGCATCCAGTCAGGAATTTTTCTTGAACTCCTACTCATGCCTCAGTGGGGAAACTGAGGCCCTGAGTGCAGCTGTGGCCTGCCCAGAGCCACACAGTGAGAAAGGTCAGAGCTGGGGCCACATCTGACCTCACACATGTAAAATATTGCCTAATGTGCTCCTGATTGGTTATTATCACATAACAATAGCAATAATAATTATTCCAATTATGATATTACTATTGTCCCAGAGCTCATGATTCCAAGTCTGTTTCTGCTCTGCCATGTTGCTATCTGGGCTGTGACCCCCGCCCCCAGGAGGCCCTCCTCCCTCCCTGCCTGGCCAAACCTTTGCCACCTTTCCCAGCTCTACAGCCAGCCTTCCTGGACTTATAACCCAGCCCACCTCTCCAGGCCTCCGTGTGGGCATTGGTGCACTCCTTACAAGGGAGCTGAGAGGCCTGGGACCCAGGGGCTGTGCAGGTGCTGCCAACAGAGCCGCCCTGGGCCCACCTGGCTGGGCTGGAGGCTATGGGGAGAACACAGAACAGCCCCAGCTCCTGACCAGAAAGAACACAGTTCAGGACCCCAAGGGAGGGCACCTGTTCAGGTGTCTGGCAGAGCTGAGAGCTGGGAAAGCCTGGGACCCTGTGAACTGAGTGAGTCAGGGTAGGGGCACAGGACAGCCACTGGGAGGCAGTGCCCCTCAGCCTCCTGAGCCACACGCTAGGGATCATTTTGTTCACATTTGGGCTAAATGAGATCCAACCACCAGTCCAAAGCACTTGATGGTGCGTGCGCGAACACACACACACACACACACACACACACACACACGCCCCTCCTGGGCTGCAAATTAAAATCTGGTTAAACAATTTGGTTGTAATACATTTGCAAGTTGGGGTTCACCCACAGCCTGAGTTCCTTCAGGCCTATGGTTCTCCTGAACAAGAGGGTGGTGTCACCCCAGCTGCCCAGATCTGCTGCTCCATGTCTTATCCCTGCCTGTGGTTTAGTCTCTCCATCTGTCACCCTTGGGGCCGCTTGCTGCCTTATTGATGTTTTAAGATGAAAGATTTAAGATAAAGATGTATTCAAGGTTCCCACTCTCTGATCTGGGTGAGGAGTAGGGAAAAATGGGATTCCCCCTACTCCATCCCAGTCAAGGGGTCTTTTTTTGAGACAGAGTTTCCCTTTTGTTCCCCAGGCTGGAGTGCAATGGCTTGATCTTGGCTCACCACAACCTCCGCCTCCTGGGTTCAAGCGATTATCTTGCCTCAGCCTCCCGCCCACCTGGGATTACAGGCGCCTACCACCATGCTCAGCTAATCTTTGTATTTTTAGTAGAGATGGGGTTTAACCATGTTGGCCAGGCTGGTCTCAAACTCCTGACCTCAGGTGATCTGCCTACCCTCGGCCTCCCAAAGTGCTGGGATTACAGGTGTGAGCCACAGTTCCCAGCCCCAAATGACTTCTAAATATCCCTCCGGGCATTTGCACACAGTATTTCCTCCAGCTGGAAGGAATTTTTCTTGAACTCCTACTTATGCCTCAAGGCCCAGATAAAACGGCCCATCCTCTGAGAGCTACATCAGACCCCATCACTCAGAGTCAGAGCCTTCCTGGGTCCCTCAGCCCCTCTCACAGCCTTCTTGTAACTTTCTATTCATAAGGGCTTGCATATGAGACGCTAAAGAGGCAGGGAGGCAGGAGTGGACCCCGAAGGTCAGGTCTAGCTGGGACTCAGCAAACCGAGCATCACTGCCCAAGCCTCAGGACCTCACTGTGATGCTTTGTTCCTGAAACCCTCTGCTATTGGCTCTGAACTGGGATTGCAGCCTGCCAGGTGTTCTGACCCTGACCTTGGGGTTACTGACCCATGGCTCTGAGATGCCTCTGGTCTTCAGGGTCACACCGCCAGAAACGGAGCCAGTTCTCCGCATGAGAACAGATGCTCTGGACAGGTGGAGCAATGGTCCCCAAACCTGAGACAAAGCTGCTCCTGTGCCGTCAGCGGGCCTTGTTCCCAGTGACTCAGCCACTTGTGTTGCCAGCTCTGGGACCTGTGTCCATGTGTTCATGACACCCAGGCGGGTATGCAGGCAGACAGGTGTCTCCTGCCCTGTCTGGCTTACTGAAGCCTCCCAGAGAGAGGCTTCCGAGAGGCAGCCTCTGAGCCCCATGACTCCCCAGTGCCACATGCTAACCAGCCCAGGGTTTCCTGGACTCTGGCTGTGGTGCACAGGGAGGAGTGCTGCTCCAAGCAGCAGAGTGACCCACAGCTGGGCAGGCCAGAAGCCTGGAGACAGGGGTCCCAATGGCTCCAACTCTGGGGCACTGGGTACCCAGGCAGAAGGCCCTGACTCCCTGTTGGCCACGAGGAGGGGCCTGCATACAGGTGGCCCGACTCCCCTGGGTGAGGGGACAGAAAGGGTGGGGTGGGTTTGAAAAGGATTTCAACTCCAAACAACAGCAACTTTCAATTTTATGGTACTTGAGGGTCATCTTTAGACACTCGGAAAGTTATCTGGAGCAGACAGAAAGTTCTCTGGAGCAGTTCTCTGGTCAGGGAGTGGAGGACCAGAGATAAGGGAAAGGGAGCCAGGAACCCAGGAATTCTAGGGCTTTCTAACTGGGAATTGGAGAATTCTCAAATCTGGTAAACACACATGTGCCAACCCCCCCAGTCTGTGTGTGGCACACACTAGGTGCTCAGTAAATGGGAAATCTCATCCTTTCTC